TGATAACACTCAGCATTGGTGGGAGAGCTGGGAAATGATCTTGTCATACCCTACTGGTAGGAATGTGAGTTTTGACAGCCATTTGGAAAGTAATTGGCTGTAACTAATAACGTGTAAAAGTGCACATTTCCTTTGTTTCAGCAACCCCATTTTGGGACATCTTTTCCACAAAAATAAAAACATTGGTTCACAAAAGCATATGTACAAATACGTTCGGTTCATCAGTATTGTGTATGGGGCAAAAATGAGAAACAACTTGAATGTCAACCAGTAAGGCAACAGCTGAATGAATTGGGTGGCAGAGTCAAACTATAGTATATTTTACTGTTAAGAGAATGATTTTGCAGAACTTAATGTCACAGACTGTACACTTAAAAATGGTTAAAATTATAAATATTATGTTTATTTTACTACACTAAGAAAAAGAAAAAATAGAATGATTTACCCCCAGTGTCCTGGAGAAATGACCATGAAAATTTTTAAGAAAAAAATCCATGTTTCATGTAAAGTGAGTGTATGTGTTTGTGTGTTAATAGGAAAAGGTATGAAAGGATATAAACTAAATTTTTTTGGTAAAAATGTTATTAGTTTAAAATAATCTCTATACCCAACATGGGGCTCAAATTCACAACCCTGAGATCAAGAGTCACATTCTCCACCGACAGAAGCAGCCAAGTGCCCTGGATACAAACTAAATATCATTAGTGATCTCCGGGAGTGTGAAGTATTTATTACTTGACTTGTAACAAGGAGCATGAATTTAGAGCTCAGACCTAGGCTCAAGTCCCAGCTCCACCACTGAATTGATGTATGAGCTGGATGACTTACGTGATAGCGTCTTCATTTGTAAAACAGGGAGAGAGCTAGTAACTGCCCTGTTAGAACTGTTGGGAGGCATAGACATGAGAACAGTGACTGCCACAATAAATTATACTGCCATCATTATTGTCTCTTTTCGTGTCTTCATGATACCCTATCCATTCTTCCATCCATCACGACTTTTACTGGAATTGTCAAAAGATTTGATTAAGAATCAGGAGAGAAAAAAGAGAAACAAAAGCAAATTTTGAGAAGCCTAAAAATGAGGAGATTCACATCATATTAGTTTCAGATCCCACTAGAGCTGGCTTGTGTCTGAGGCCATCTGAGATGTCTGAGCTTTGGCCCTAAAGGACTGGAACAATTTTGGAGACATCTGGTCTAGATTTCTTTCTTTTTGGCCTGTCATCACATCATATCACATCACATCACATTTAAGGTACTCTTAAGATTCACAGCCTAGCAGCTTTCTTCTCAACATCTCCACACCTTCTCTATTGCTCTTTGATATACCTACTGTCATCTTCCTCTTTTCTCCTGCCCAGTCAACAACTTCTTGCATGGTAAATGTTTTCTCTTAGTTACCGGAACTCTCTTCTTCACTGGCGAACTGATAAGACCTGGAGTTGTTATATTTGCTATGTGAGTCACAAACACTAGTTTATCCAGTCCCAACCTTGCCACTTTCATAGACTACTAACACATTAATATTCTTTGTGTTGAGAAATCTGGAGCCTTTAGGCAGTGATTAGATTTTTTTCTTGTGCTTTACAACATTTCACATTCCATAAATCTCATTAATATTATATGTGAAGTATACCAATAACTTCTCCTGGTTTATTTTACCCTTAAAGGCACTAACGTATGGATTCAAAAATCTCTTCTCAGACCAGGATGGCAATGAACTTCCCTGATAGTAAAGGGCCCTCAAATTTATTATGATGCTTGCAACTAAAACCAAACTGTAGCTCTTTTCATTGATCCCAGGATTTCTCATTTCCCTATTTCCTTCTGCCATCCTTATATTTATTCCTTCTTTGTTTCCTTCCTTTTCTCCTGCTCTTCTCCCTCTCCTCAAACATTCCTAATCAGCTTCTGTGTGTCAGACATCCAGTAACAAAGCTTGAGCAAAACAGACCACCTTCTCATTGTCATGGAACTTACAAATTACAGCGATAAGTGCTATAATTTCAAATAGCACCTAGTAGGAAACACAGGACCCTGTGAGAAATCAGTGTAGATGAAGGCTTCATCCAGGAAGTGGCAGCTGAGCTGGGGTGGAAGCATGAGGAGGACTTAGCTAGGCATCTCCTCCCATTTAGGGCTGGCGGGGAGGGGGGTGGGCAGAGACCAGGATTGTCATAGCACCAGTCCCCGGGGCTGCTTGCCAGAAGTGCTCATAAATATTTGTGGGAGTAAGGAACAATGGGAAAAACATAAAATCAATGAAAATGTGTCTGTGTTGTTTTGAAACTAATCAATTAATGATATAACTGTTACTAATGAAAAGATATCCAAAGTGAAAAACAGAAGGAGAAAGTGGCACAAGATGAGCAGCCAAATCATACTCAGGATATGGAGGGATTTTAGTCTCTATCCTCACAGCCATTAGAAGCCATGGAAGCGTTATTTTTTACAGCTAATGTTTTTTAAAAAAAATACCTATTATGTTCTAAAGCTAAAGACTACTTGCATGATTTCATTTAATCCTTGAAGCAATCCTATGATAGTACTATTAGGATGCCAATTTTACAGACTGAGGACACTGAAATGTAGAGGTTGTTTGCTCAACACTGTTAATAAGTGGCAGAGGCTTGGCTCCAAAACCCCTTATTCTTTTTTTTTTTTTAAGATTGTATTTATTTGCGAGAGAGAGAATGAGAGACAGAGAGCATGAGAGGGAGGAGGGTCAGAGGGAGAAGCAGACTCCCTGCC